GGAGATTCTACCTTCCTCCAGGCCCTCTGGATCTAGGTTCCCTCTTGAAAGCTTGTAAGCCAGTCACTTTTGCCTTTGTAGCCCCCCACCCCCCATTTTGGGTAGCAAATGTCCAAGTTGCCCATCCCTGTCTACTTTGTGTGTGGACGGTGTGGGACTCCATAGGATTTTTAATGGCTGTGATGTTTCAGAAGAAAAGGTGCTTCTGGGTGACTTCCATTAGCCAGACTTTCAGTGGTTTAACTGTTTGCACCACCCAGGGACTCCACCATACAGGCAGTAAAACGTACTAAGAAAAACCAAAGGAATAAGGTAAGGAATGAAGAATAAGGAATAAGGTATAAGGAATTATACCTTATACCAAAGGTATAAGGAATTATACTTTATACCAAAGGAATAAGGTAAGGAATTAAGAAAAACCAAAGAAATAAGGTAAGGAATTCACTACAGTGGTAACTCTGAAGTGGGAAGAAGGGACTATATGGTTACTAAGAAGGGAAACAGAAACCCAGAAGGTGGTTTCTGGCCTAAGGCAGCTTTTATTCCATAGATACAAAGTGGTCACCATAGCCATAAATGTGGGTGAGATGGCCCAGGAAGAGGGAGCAGAATAAAAGAAAAGAGGAACATCAACTTGCAGGAGGAGGGGAAAGCTAAATCCAGAGACTGAACTCTGCAAACAGTGGGAGGAGAGTTAGGAAAGTGAAAACAAACAGTGTGATCAAATTATTGTGTGTATCAGGAAGGTAGGTTAGAATGCTGGCTGAGGCCTTTGGATTTAGCCAGGTTTCCTGATGACCTTGGCTGGAACAGTTTCAAAGAAGACCTGGGGGTGGAGGCCACACAGTTGAGGACTGAGTGGGAGGTTAGAAAGTTCCCAACCAGAAGGGAGACAACTCTGAGAAAGTGTGAGAAGGAGAGAAGGAAGATGGGACAGCAGCTGGAGGAAAAGTGGGGAAAATCCCTGAGAGATGTTAAATGATCTTCACTTGGTCAATTACAACCACTATTTAAAACACTAAAAGAGCATTCTGAGTTGTTTATTTATACATATGTAGTAAAAGAAGAACATGGCAATAGCATAAAAGGAAGACTCATTCACAACCTGCAATATGCAGATGATATAACCTTGCTTGCTCAAAGCGGAGAAGAGGACTTAATTAAAATACTTAAGGATGAAGATTTCAGTATAAATTGCACCTCAATGTAAAGAAAACAAAAATCCCCATTACTGGTCCAATAAATAACATGAAAAATGGAAAAGAGGTTGAAGTTGTCAGAGACTTAATTTTTCCTGGATTCACAATTAACACTTAAGGACGTAGCTGTCAAGAAATCAAATGAGGCACTACATTAGGCAAATGTGCTGCACAAGACCTTTTTAAAGTGTTGAAGAGCAAAGCTGTCAGTTTGAGGACTAAGGTGCACCTGACCTAAGCCATGGTATTTTCAATAACCTCATTTGCATGCAAAAGCTGGACAGTGAATAAGAAAACCTTTAAAAGAATCCATGTATTTGAGTTACGGTGTTGGAGAATACACAAATCTGTGTTGGTGGAAATACAATCAGAATGCTTCTGGAAGCAGAATTGTGAGACTTGTCTCTCATACTTCCAACATGTTAACAGGACATTATGCTTGGTAAAGTGGAGGCTCAGCGAAAAAGAGGAAGACACCAACGAGATGGATTGACACAGTGGCAACAGCAATGGGCTCAAAAATAACAATTGTGAGGATGACGCAGGACAGGCATTGTTACCTTTTGCTGTGCACGGGGTTGCTTTGAGTGGAAACCGACTCAATGATACTTAACTAGAAAGAAATGAACTTACAGGAGAGTTGGTTACGTAGTAAAAGTATAAAGATATGCATTTACATAAACTCAGGAAAGAGAGGTACTTAGACTTAGTGGGAGGGACGAAGGTTTGGGTACCTGACATATTGCAACATTCTTTATAGTATACATCTTCATCTTACAGACAAGGAAATAGAGCCTAGGGGAAGTGAACTAGCAGGAATTCCAGTTCTACTGGGTTTTGCTGTCTGATACACTGGAAGAACGAATAAGAAAGAATGACCTCGGGCTTGCTTTCCAGGCCTCCCTCCGCAAGCCCTTCCAGGATTTCACACAGCGAGTGGATAGACAACACTAGATAAAATCTGAGCTCTTAGCAACTCTCTAGGCAAAGAACGAAGTCCGTTCCCGTCCCGCCCCCGTACTTTCGGCTCCACCCTGGGCGGTTGAGTTCGCAACGGGTCTCATGAATATGCAAATAAGAAGATATTTAAAGGCGCCGCCACCACGCGCAGGTCCTTGCCTGGCGCCGCCCGCCTAATACTTCTCCCCAGCTCCAGGCCTGGCCCCCTTCGCCCTGTCTCTTTGTACCGAAACGTCGCCAGCATGTCGGACAAACTGCCATACAAAGTCGGTGAGTTCCAGGACACTAGGCCAGCTGCGTCTGCTCCACGTCCGCCGGTGGGCCTGTATCGGGCGGTGCTCGTGGGGCTGGCCCGGGGTGCCCAGGACCCCGTTGAATCGGAGGTTTGGCGCGATCCTGCACGTGAGGCCGCTTGGGGTTTGGAGTCCTCGCGCCGCCGTGAGCGGGTCGCTAGGGGTGGCCGCGGACTACAATTCCCGGCGTCCCCCGTGAAGCCCGGTGCAGCCGCGCGGGCTGAGGTGCTACGGACCAGCTGCGTGTTCCTCACAGAGCCTACCCTGGTTGGCGGGGAGCGATCACTTGGCCATGGCCTGGGATAGTTGGGGCCTGCCGAGACTTACCCTAGGAGACCTAAGTGCTACCTATTGGGTTCGAACCGAACCCTGGCGTGCTGGGACAGGTGCTCATCTTTCTCCCGGCCTCCGACAGGAAAGTCTAAGGCATGGAAGCCTTAGAAGGGCACATGAGCGGCCTGGACTGTGAGTGAGCCCGAGGCCGGCACTGGTCCCCCACCGGGGATTTTGAGCTAGTTACCCACCTGGCTTACAAGGACAGTTGTGCTGAGAATTTCGAGACAAAAAACAAACAGGAAAACGGAGTGATTAGAAAAACACTGCTTTCACACGGCTTGAGGACTGATAAAGTGGGAGTGTTGACCGTTTCACTAAGATTGGCACTTCCCTTCTAGCTTTATTCTAAATTAATTTAATTTATTCTTACGGATCTTTAGGATAGCGGCTATTTTTCTCATTTTGCATTTCAATGTACTGAGTCCCAGAGGAACAAAGATAAAACTTGATTACACTCTTGCAACTGGGAGGTAGTAGAACAGGATGTGAATTCAGGCTATTTAGGCCTCAGAGCCCACCCTTTTCACCACTGTATAGAAGTGTATTTACACATGGAACAAACCTAATACATTTAAAAACAAACAAAAAGCTGGTTCAGGCGGACTTGCAGTTTTTAAAGTAACTTCAAGATATTTGAAGGAAGGCACCAATATTTATGGAACACTTTGTATCGGGTTATTTGCATGTATTTACACATCTAATCCTTGTTGTTAAGTGCCTGTCCTGAGTTCCTGCATAGGAGCGATGGGTGGCTCTGAACCACCAACCTCGAGGTTCAAACCGACATTGCCATGGAGCGCTTACCCTACACCTACTTAACAGTGGACTATATTGCCTCATTATACCAGTGAAGAAATGGAGGCCCTGAGAGCACGTGACTTGCCTAAGATGATACAGAGATTTTGTCAAAATCACAGCTCATCAAGCAGCTGCCAGAGTAAACTGTTGTCCACATGTGCGAATGTTGAAACTCAGACCTAGAAAGGTTAAGCCACAGTGAGTGGCAAAGCTGGGATGAGAAATCAGTGCGCGGGTGTTGGGAACATTAGGTGTTGGTGGGCGGTCCCTGTGGAGTTAGGGAAGCTACAGTCTGAGTCGAGGTAGAGGAAGGAGGGTAACACTGTGTGCCAGTCCTTGCCCATATGGTATCTTCTTAAATCCTCAGAGCACAGCAGGTAGGGCTGATTAGCACCCCTTTACAGCTCTTGCAATTCTGCTGGCTTGCCTGCGACAGGTGTTCCTATGACCTTTGTAAGTCCTCAGCTTCCCCGGGGACCAAAAGCTCCAGAACTTTGAATGCCAGTCTTTCCAGTGTCTCTGGAGTTGTGGGTCCCACAGAAAGCTCTGAGCCCTGTGGCCAGGAGGACAATAAATAGTTATTTTTAGCTACAGGGTGGAGGTGAGACTTAGCCTAATTGGATGGAACCTTGAGAAGGCCTCTGGCTTTAGCCCCACCTGGACACCAGTCATTGACTGGCTGTCAGACCTGGGGCAAACGTTTTGTAGGCCTTTTCCTTGCTGAATAATGCTGGAAGTTGGACTAGCTTCAGATTGGTTTCATTTTTGGCCACCCGTGTCCCATGCCAGCCCCTTTCATGTACCTTCTGTCATTTGCTGACTGACCCCTCTTCTGCCGGGTCCTGCCGGGCACTGAAAATACAAAGGTGACCCAAGGACCAGGATGGGACAGACACACACACAGACAATGTAAGGAAAGAGATCTCCCCATTTCTCTACATCTCACAGCCACCATCCAGTTTCAGTTTCTCTCCTCACAGGTTTCTCTGGGTTTCTAGCTCTAGGGATCCTGATGCAGACAAAAGACAAATCTCGTCATGATACCTGCCTGAAAACACAGTTGACTTACCACCTCACTGGGCATAAAATCTTGACTCATTTTTTTCTCCCTCTACAACATTTTGGAGTCCTGGTGTCGTGCTGTGGGAACATGCACTAGACTGAAAAAGTCAGTTTGAACTGTAAGGTTGGCGGTTCAAATTCAACTGCTCCTTGGAAACCTTATAAAGGGTCGCTGTTAATTGGAACCTATTCAAAGGCACTTAACTACTTAGAAGTCCTGGTGTGGTGCTGTAGAATAAGCATTGGATTGCTAACCACAAGGGTGGTGGGTCAAACCCACCAGCTGCTTCTCGAAACTGCTGGAAACCCTATGCAGGATCGCTATGAGTTGGAACCGAGTTGACAACAGTTAACTCAGTCACTCTGGTTTGCTTTCTGTTCTTTCATCAGGAACATACCATGTACTTTCCTGTTGCCAGGTTTTTGTTGAGCGCCTACTATGTGCCAAGCATCAGGTGTTTGAGGAGAGGAACCTTTCAGGCTACGGAAGCTGCTAGGGTTAAAATCCCTGACGCGTTTTTGTTGAAGACGCTTAGGTCTTTGTGGCTGAGCAGTGAATGACAGGGAAAAGAATGGTTCCTGATACCACTTGAGTTAACGATTTTATTCACAGGAAAGGGAAGCTGAAAACTTTTTTTTCAAAAAACCACATTAGGAGATGTGAAGAGAGTGGTATGTGGAAGCAAGAAGGAGACGGCTTTGATTGTCCTCCTGAAAAGTGGTGTTTGGACAGGAGTGGTGAGACACAGATTGTGTATATATGAGGGAGCTTCAAAAAGCTCCTGGGAAAATTCCATATACTTTAACTCCATTTTTTATGAACTTTTTGAAGACTTCTTGTCATATCTGGGACAGGGGGTGGGGTGATGGGAAAAGAGGAATCAAGAAATCCTAGACTTTTTTTTTTGACTAGAGCAACTGTTTGAATCGTGGGTTCTTTTGCTGAAATTAGGGGAGTAACTGTTTGGGGTGGGCTAGGGAATCACCACTCAAAGTTGAAACAACCATAACAGATGCCAGCAGGACATCCAAGTGGAAATGCTGAGTAGATAGTTAGATTTATGTGTTTCAAGTTCAGGGGAGAGGTTTAGGCTGGCGAGAAATGGGTAAGATTTGGGGGAGTAATTGGTTTGGGGGTGGGACAGGAAATTATCACTCAGAATTGCCAAGGCCATAATAAATGCCAACTGGACATCCAAGTGGAGATGCTGAGTAGACAGGTTTATGAGATTTAGGGTCAGGGGAGAAGTTTGGGCTAGAGAAAAATGCGGGGAGGCATTCCCGTATAGAATTTTTAATGGCATGAAACTGGATGAGCTCATCTGGTAGGAGAAAGGGGAGGTGATGAAACCCTGAGGGCTCTCAAATATTAGAGTCTGTTAGAGGAGGAGGCAAGGAGCCCTGTTAGCATAGTGGGTTACCTGTTGGACTGCTAACCAAAAAAAAAAAGTCAGTAGTTGGAGTTTGCCAGGCACTCTGTGGGAGAAAGATGAGGTTTTTCTGCTCTTATGGAGATTTACAGCCTCAGAAATCCTATACAGGGTTGCTATTAGTTGGAACCAGCTCCACAGCCAGCACAGACCCACCACCAACCAGAGGAGGAGGCAGGGAGGTAGGTGGAAAATCACATGAGGACAGTCATAGACAAATAAAGGAAAGGTTTCAAAGAGGAGGAAATTAAGATTATTGACTGTTGGATTTCTGGTCTTTGGAGAACTTGATTAGAGTAGTTTCAATGGATTAGTGAAGTTTTCAATGAGTGAGAGGGTCAGGCCAGCTCCTCTATTGTAATAGAAAAGAATGCCCAATCTGTAGCATTAAGGCTAGTGATGTCCTGATGTGGCACTGTAGGATCAGCACTGGCCTGCTAACCCCAGTGTTGACAGTTCAAACCTACCAGATGCTCATCGGAAACTGTATACAGGATTGCTATGAGTCAGAACCTACTTCACAGCTTAAAGTGAGATCTGTTGGTGTGGTTGTGATTTCCCTTCTATTGGGTTCAATGACTTAGTGCAGTGGAGAGTTGGGTTTAACTAGGGTGGAAGTTACGCTAAGCAAGTTCTCAGAGGGGAAGAGGGCAAAAGGAGAGGTGAGGGATGCAGTAGAATTCTAAACTGGAAGGATGGAGATGAGACTATTTAGCAGGACAGGATATTGGTAGATTTAATGGCTTCAGGGTTCTGATGTGCCTTCTTGGAGTTGGGACTCTAGATGGGACATGACCAGAGTCAGGTGATAGAAATAGATTCTCAAGAGAGAGAGCCATCATCAGTGATGGCCTAACAAAGATTAGGGCAGTGGAAGTGGACTCTTCCATGGGGGAGGAGTAGTTCATCTCTGACATTGTTAGATGCATAGTTGGAAGCAAACTGGCTTAGTCAGTTTGTCTCCTTAACTGAGATTTCTCTACAGAAAATACCCTCCCTCCCTCCCTTACTCCTTGGGTGATTGACAGGATCTAAGCTTTCTAATGATAAAAATCATCAGGAGTTCCAGGCCTCATCTCAAACCTATTGAATTTCATTTTCTAGGGGAGATTTACAAACATGCCAGTGGATTTTACCATTAAGGAAGTTATCATTAAACAAACACTGACCTATGATATGACCTTTGGAATGGACCATTGAAGTGTTAAATTATTAGAGATAGTCCTGTTTGAGAACTGAACAAATTTGAGACATCTGGAATGGTAGCTAGGGGCTAAAACATAATCTATATTACTGTTAATGTATAAACCAGATGACATGTGAAAACCCAATGGACCTGAAAATGGAATTCCACAATTCAGCTGTTACCAGTTACCAACACACCTGGTCTGGACAGGTCTCTGTATGTGGGAAAGCAGAGAACACCTGCCTCTTGAAGTTAGGCCTGCTGGTGCAAAAGAAGGGAAGAGCTGAACTGAGCATGCCTAGTGTATTCCTCCCAAATACCAACTAGTCACTCCACTTCCCCTGGACCAGAGAGACGCCAAGAGTGTTAGACTGATGAGCGCCCTCCATGTGAAAAGAAACATCAGGAGTGGGGAAGAAGCATTTTCACATCTTCAGGGAGGTCAGGGAACTTAGAATTTGAGGTTTTAGGTAATAGCATCTGCGGGTGTTGACTTGGAGAAGAAGACAGAGAATCAGGAACTAAAAATCTAATGAATAAGGAAGAATGACTTGGAAGTTGTTGGTGTTAAGTGCTGTCAAATCAGTTCTGTCCAATAGCAACCCTGTATGGGGTTTCTGAGGAGTGACTGGTGAGTTTGAACCACCAACCTTGCAGTTCAAATGACCTTGTGGTCATTTATCCTACAATACCACACCAGGACATTGGTAGGTTATCAACAAAAGGGTAGTGGGAGATACAGTCTGATAGTTGCTTTTCAAAGGGGCGCTTGTCTGTGTTGTAACATTCATGTACAAGTGTGATTAATTAAGTGATGCTGTAGGGAGTCCTAGTGGGGCACTGGGATAAAGCACTGGTCAGTTTGAACCTCCTAGGAAACCCTATACATGACCATGGAACCATTAAATCTACCACTATCCTGTCCTGCACTGGGCTCCCTGCTAAATAGTCTCATCTCCTTCCTTCCATAGTTTAGGATTCTACTGCACCCCCACCCCTCCAATCTATGAGCCAGAACTAACTCGACGGCATTTAAAATCAGCAACAAAACCTTTCCATAAAGTTGTAAGCTACAGTTAGGTATGGACTATGCCTTTGTTTTTTGACTGTTGAAGCCATAGGGTTCAGACTTTATGGTGTACTTACTGAATAAGAGAATGAAGGGTTGAGAATGTTTTGAGTCAGCAAGAGGCTCAGGGTCCTCACACACTGGTAGTGCTTTATGGTTAGTGGGATGAGGTGACTCATGGAACTCCCATCCGTCTTACTCCTGTAGCTGACATCAGTTTGGCCTCTTGGGGACGCAAGGCCCTGGACATCGCAGAGAATGAGATGCCAGGCCTGATGCGCATGCGGGAGATGTACTCAGCCTCCAAGCCTCTGAAGGGTGCCCGCATTGCTGGATGCCTGCACATGACTGTGGAGACAGCTGTCCTTATTGAGACCCTCGTCGCTCTTGGTGCTGAGGTGAGGTCCACAGCTGTGTGACTTTAGACGGGTTCCTTGCCGTCTCTGGGATCAGCCAGTGTAAAAGAAGACTGTAGAGATGGGGAGAAGTCCAAGTATGGTGCTGACCTCCAGACTTTTCTCTCCCAGTGCTGACACCCTTTGTGGTGATAATTCCTATGCAGATAATAGGGAAAATGGTCTCTGATGGATTCCCGGTGGGGAAAACTCAAATCCAACATCCCAGTTTGCCATCTGAGGACTAATTCTCATTGTTTCTTATTGAATCATGTGCCTGTCTTGAAGTAATCATGTTACCAGAGAATGAGGTGCTTTGATTGATTCAGCCTGGGCCATGTGACCAATGATTGAACGCTCTTCTAAGCTGTCAGGGAGTTGAGAAGCAAAGTGGTTCCCCAAAGGGAAGGCAGGATATTCAGGCAGCCCAAAATAGCAGTACTCAATCATTAGATCACTTATTTCTTTTCAACATTCACTTACTTGGTGGTATAGTTTTCTGTCTTAATATTGTCTATATGGTGATGACTCCCAAATATATGTACTAGACTGGATTTTCCCCCAGAACTCTCGACACCTTTAACCAACTATTGAGTCATTTCCATTTGCAGGTCTAAAACATCTTAAACTGAGCAAGTCCAAACAAACTCAAGGGGATTTCTGACCCCCCACTCCCCACCCAAATCATCCCCACACATATCAGTAAATGGAAACTTCAGCCTTGTAGGTTCTATTTCAAGGACCTGGGAGTCATTTTTTAGTCCTTTCTTTCTCTGTCACTCACAACTAATTCCTCAGCAAATCATGTCAGTGCAACCTTCAGAATATACCCAGAATTTGACAGTTTCTCATCCCCTCCCCTGCTTCTGCCACATTTCTCACCTGGACTCCTGTAATAGCTTCTTCACTTGCCTCCTTGCTGCAGCCCTTACCCCTCTACATTTCATAGTCCTCACAGCTCCAGAGTGATGTTTTAAGAATCTGGTTCCCATCTACTCACCCAGGGTAACTAGCCTATAATCACAGATTATAGCCTATAAGTTTCTCACCCTCAGCTCCAGGGCATTCCCCTGTTCCTGTCCAGGGGCCCAGTGCTTTTGAGCCATCAGTAACCTCATGTGTCTTGCTGGCTTTTCCAGGTGCAGTGGTCCAGCTGCAACATCTTCTCCACTCAGGACCATGCAGCAGCTGCCATTGCAAAGGCTGGCATTCCAGGTGAGTCCTACCTGATACCTGGGCTATAGGGGTGCATGAAGGGATTCTGCTTCTCTTTGCTTGCTTTACTGACTCGTCTAGTGTAGGCTTTGCTATGGGAGGGGACAGAAGTCATAGTCACAGAAACCATAGGAAAGAGCTGTTTTGTGACACTTTTATCTAAAATCCTATGGAAGGGGAATGTTGGCTCAAGCCAAGTCATGTGACTAGAAAAGGTGGAATCTTATGATTGGGAATATATGAGATGAAGGGGAGTCTCATAAAGGAAGGATGTGGGTCTGCTTCCAGAAGAATTGGGGAGGCATATGGACAGAAAAAAGCCCCAGAGGCCAACTGCTTGGATGGCCTGGTGGTCTGGAAGCCTTGGGGAGAGCCAGGACTGAGTGGAAGGACTATCTCACAAGCTGCTGGACAAATGGGCACTTGTCTACCTGGGCTTGGTTAGATCGGTTGGTCATTGCATAAAGCTTCAGGATTCCTTTTAACTCGGCTCAGGTCGAGGTCGGAGGGAACGACTCCTCCAGAGACTGACCAGGGCTGCACGGGTACCTCTGCCACTCCTCAGCTTTGCCACAGCTCATGACCCTCTTCTGGGAAAGACTGTGTTTTCAAGATTATCGTCTGACCCATTTGGGAAGTTGGACAGCTGACCCTGACTGGCTGGCAACCTTTGCTCACAGGAGGCTCACGGAAACCTCACACCTGTGTCCCAGTCATATCATAATGGGAGGAACCTAGTCTTGAGCCCTGTGTTCTGGTGCCTGCTCTGGAGTGCCATGCGGTGTGACTGGAGCACATCTTGGTCCCTCTCTGAGCCTCTGACTGATGGTGATGATAATGCCTGCCTCAGAGGTTTCTGTGAAGAAAGATGAGATCAGGCATGAAGCAATTTTGAGTAATTGCTGCCACAATGTATTCTATGCGTAATAACTGCTTATTAGTAATTTATTGGCAAGACTTTGCCTGGGACCACCCACCTCAGACTGCTGGGCCTTTAAGTCCTTTGAGTCAGAGTGAACCTAGATCCTGGATCATAGTGATCTGGAGTATGGCCCCTCTTCTGCGGCTTGCATTGTGATGGGAGCCCTGGCTACTGAGGGTTGATGTTCCAGTCTCTGCTCCAGGCAGAAGGGAGTGGGAAAGGAAATAGTTATTTTCAGATACTTATATATAGGATACCATCTCAAGTAAGAAAGCTGAGGCTCAGAGTAGTGAAGTGATTTGCCCAGGGTCACACAACTGGTGATTTGAACTGGGGTCTTTCTGGTGATTTGAACAGGATTTGAACTGGGGTCTTTCTGGCTCCAAACTGTGTTCTTAGCCCTGCTAAGTCCTTAGTGGGACTGAAGGTGTATGGGCTAGGGATTTGGAAGGAGACAGTTTGAACTCCACCAGGAGCTGGTGGGAGGGCCAGACCTAATGTGCCTCTCTCGCTTCAGTGTACGCTTGGAAGGGTGAAACAGATGAGGAGTACCTGTGGTGCATTGAACAAACCCTGTACTTTAAGGACGGACCCCTCAACATGATTCTGGACTACAGTGATGACCTCACCAACCTCATTCATACCAAGTACCCACAGCTCCTGTCGGGTGAGCAGGGTGGGTGGGTGGGTGGGCTGAGGGCTGGCTGCTTGAATGGGGTTTGCTCGCCCACATGCAGGAGGCAGCAGATGTGGCAGGACTCCCATTGCCTTAAGCTGCAGATTCCTTGGAGGAAGACAGGCTCCTGCAAGCATGTTGGGCCCAGCCTCCTGACTTGTCATGGTGTGGAGCTAGAGCAGCTGAGGGAAGCCTGGCTGAGATTACAAACCAGGGGGTAGGATAAAGGCTGGACTCAGAAGAGCTGGAAAGGAGCCACCTTTGTAAAAAGCAGGGCAAGAAGGGAAGCAGTGAGTGCAAAGGCCTTAGGCTAAGAAAGGTTGACTGCTTAGGCAACAGAAGAGAAGCAGCATGTCAGCTATGAGTGGAGGGAGCCAGGTCATATTATAGGATGTGTCTGGAGCTTTAGTGAAGGCCAGAGATTGGCATGATCCTGAGAACAAGGGAAAGTCATTGAAACAAGGGTTTAGGAACGATTTCTCTGAAAATATACATGTTAAAAATGGCTGGTGGTAGTGATGGTTGCTCAGCATAGTGAAGATCGTTCAGGAAGGAGGCACTCCTTACCTGACTTTAAGGTTATTTGCTTAGATTTTTTTTTAGTTGAACTTTTTCTAAGGTTTTTATTGTAGATTGAGTGAAAGTTTACAGGGTAGATCATCAGTTTTACATTCAACAAATCATACACCTTGTTTTATTACAATGATTATAACACCCTCTATGCACCATCAGCACTCAGGCATATATAATAATTTACATCTCCAAAAGGAACATCCTGCAAGTCTCCCTCCTGGCCACCTGCTCTTAATCGCTCTCTTCCCATGAATCTGGAGTCCACAGCCACTCTCTCTCCATGTCCCATCTCTGCCTCCATCTCTGGATAAGGTCCCACATTCTGCTTGTGCTCTTCTCCCTTGATGGCCCTAGGGTCCTCTAAGATTAACCACTCCCGTTTTTGTTACCAAACTTCTACCTTTACAATTGTGACAGTTGCAATTAATCATGATAGCAATTATTCACTATTGAATCTTATTACAAATCTTATCCCCATCTCTTTTCACCAGACCCATCTAGACAAGATGAAAACTATTCAGTGGGGACTCTTTCTCCACCCCCAAACTCTTAAACTAAACTCCTTCTTGAAACCTTGTAAGTCAGTCACTTTGTGCCTTTATCACCCCCCTCATTTTAGGTAGCCAGTGTCTAAATTGCCCATCCTGGTAGCGTAGTGGTTATGAATCGGGCTGCGAACCTTGAGGTCAGCAGTTTGAAACTACCAGCCGCTCCGCGGGAGAAAGATGAGGCTTTCTGCTCCCGTAAAGATTTACAGCCTCGGAGACCCTGTACAGGGTCGCTATGAGTCGGAACCGACTCGATGGCACTTAACAACTACAACATCTACCCTGTGTACAGAGGGGATACCATTGATACTTGATGTGAAGATTCCTTCCCTCTCTGTACGTATTTACAGTTATTACTACGTGAGTATAGGTCAGGTTCATCAAACTGTAGCAATTTACTCGTGTTTCTTTTATCAAAAAAAATTTTTTTTTATTTATGTTTTTTGTAATCTTCCTCTAGTCGAGCTCTGATTATCAAGCCATCAAGACTAGGTCAAATGTGTACTGTCTGCAAGTTTGGGTGTTCTTGTGCATCTCCCCTCACTTCATATCAGCTGGAAGCTTCACTCTCAGCTCTAAGCCCTCTGTGGCTATGTCCTTGTCCATAGGCTCAGGTGTCCCCAGGTCTCACCATGCTTCCTATCAACCAGTCCTTCCTCTTCTCTTTCACATCTCCAGGTCAATGGGGGTCAGTGGACTGTGGTTGAACTCAGTCCATTTCTTCATTGCTGCCTTTCCTTTCCCCCTTTTACTCACCAGTAGACCAATGTGGTCACCAGCAAGCTTACATGTCTGTTCGTGTGTTTCCTTTGAGTTTCCATCTTAAGAGGGGAGTTTGTCCTCAAGGAACTTGATTGCTAGCCTTGATGGCTTCCTGGTGAACAGCTTGCTTATTGTTGTAGTAGCCAGTCATGATGACATTTTTGTTTTGGATTTTTCCTGATGATCTTTCTTTGGAGATGTATCTTCTGTCGCTCTAGCTGTTCCAGGCTGGTCTGTTTGTCCTTTCTAGTGGGAGTGTCCCAACTCATAAGGTTCTGGATGGGGCTCAGGATTCCACCTAAGGTCCTATATACTGCAAAGGCTCCGCAGGAGGCCTATTTCACTGGGCAAGTTCTAGAACCCCTTTTAATATTCCAATCAGTTATAGGCTGAGGATTAAGTAGATTTTTTACAAGACAGTTTGTAGGTATACTGAGTTTCTGGTTAAGGAGGTGAAAAACATTGGAAATGGGTAGTGATGACGAATGCAGTTCATGTCGAATTCTACACTTGAAAATGGTCAGAATGGCAAACTTTGTCATATGGCTGCTGGCTGCTCTATGGAGGGTGGATTGTTGCAAGGAGACCTGAAGAGATGTTGGTGGCAGGGACTAGGGCAGTGGCAGGAGGGAGGGAGACCTAATAAATCTACATAGATTTATTAGGCTTGACAATTGCTTTGCTATTGAAGGTGTCATCAGGAGTGATTCTTTCATGCAGGCCTGGGTGACTGAGTAGTTTGTGGTATCAGTCACATAGATGGGAACCCAGAAGTAACAGTGACCTTAAGTGCCCAACATATAAGGCATTTGGGTGCGTTTGGGTGTAAGTCTCTGTGAAGCTCTTGGGCCTCATCCCAGAGGCCTCTCACTCCTCCCATCCCTCGCCAGCCCCTTCCTGGCTTGAGTGAGGATGAGGGCTGAGTCTGAGGCTCTTCCCTTCCCTTCCTGTTCAGGCATCCGAGGCATTTCTGAGGAGACCACAACTGGGGTTCACAACCTATACAAGATGAAGGCCAAGGGGATACTGAAGGTGCCTGCCATCAACGTCAATGATTCTGTGACCAAGGTGAGCCCCTAGGGCAGTGACAGCTCCATTCTTGGTTCCTGACCCAGTTCAGGAGTAAGGCCTTGACGAACTGCCCCCAAAGGCTACAGTCTGACGACATGAACCTCTTAGGCGGAAAAGAGGTTGTAGACTGAGGGTAATGAGTGTATTAAAGATGAGAACTACTTGGTGAGCTTCAGAGCGGGTTGTTGAGGAAGGCTATTGGACCGGCAGAGAAAGTCTAGTGACACGGACGTGGAACAAATCAGGTTGGAGGGGTGGGGATGGGGGGATTAGCTGGAGAGAAGGAATCACAGAAGATGGTCAGCCCAAGGCTGAGGTGCTAAGAGTGGGGCCAAGGTACCTGGGCCCTGTAAGACCCTGAGGCTCAAGGGCCTGACCCCAGGGCCTTGCCTGCACTGTTACTCCCTTTTAACCATCTCATTTCAGAGCAAGTTTGACAACCTGTATGGCTGCCGGGAGTCCCTCATAGATGGCATCAAGCGAGCCACAGATGTGATGATTGCGGGAAAGGTGGCAGTTGTGGCAGGCTATGGGGACGTGGGCAAGGGCTGTGCCCAGGCCCTGAGAGGTTTCGGGGCTCGTGTCATCATCACTGAGATTGACCCCATCAACGCATTACAGGCTGCCATGGAGGGTACGATAGGGTGAGAGTTGGCTGTCAGCCTCGGGTCCAGAGAAGGACCAGTGTCACCTCAGGTAACCACAGCTCCTGTTTCTGTACAGGCTATGAAGTGACTACCATGGATGAGGCCTGTCAGGAGGGCAACATCTTTGTCACAACCACAGGCTGTGTAGATATCATCCTTGGCAGGTTGGTGCCAGGCAAGAGTCCTGGAGTGTGAGGGAGGGAGACAAGCCTGGGCTGCTCTTGTTCCTGACTGTCTGCCATGGCTCGGGCTCCCTCACAGGCACTTTGAGAAGATGAAGGATGATGCCGTTGTGTGTAACATTGGACACTTTGATGTGGAGATTGATGTCAAGTGGCTCGATGAGAATGCTGTGGAGAAAGTGAATATAAAGCCCCAGGTGAGACGCTCCAGCCCTTCTGGTCAGGTGGGCAAATAGAGGACTGAGGAGGGGCAAGCTCATGGGCAGGTCATCATGGAGGGCAGATAAGGAGTCTGGTGCAATCTGGGCAGTAGAATGGGGAGAAGGAGGGTTTGGTTTCAGAGCCAGTCTTCTTGTTAGCTGGTGTCCTAGGAGGTTTTAAGCAGGTAAGAAGCACATGGTGAGATTGTTTGAGAAAAATGTCTCATGTTACTTTGAGGAGAATAAAAGCAGTAGAGGAAGAGGGGAAGCAAAGAGGCTTTTAAAAGAATGCTTTAAAAATATTCCTGGTGAAGGATGATGGCAGCTCCTACTTGGAGTGGTAAGAAAGTAGAGGTGGATGATGGATGGACTGGATATGGGGTCAGGTTGAGGGAACAATCTAGAAGACACTAGGTTTCTGGTTGGACAACTGTGTGAAGAGTGGGGCCATTTACTGAACCGGGAAGATGGGTTTGGGGAAGAACCCAATAGGGTTTCCAAGGCTGTAACTCTTTATGGCAGTTGATTGCCATAATTTCTCTATTGGGGTAGCTGTTAAATTCAAACTGCTGACCTTTCAATTAGCAGGTGAGATCTTTTCACCACTGGTCCACCAGGGCTCCTTTTAACTACTAATATTAATCTAATACTTAGACCGTAGGGTTGTTATTAGGGTTAAATGTGATTAATATAGGAGTCCTGGTGTGGTGTTGTAGGATAAGCACTGGACTGCAAGAACATTAACAAGTTAATATTTCCTGAGTACTTGGTGTGTGCTAAGCTTTGTGATTAATGCTTTACATTTTCAGCTTATTCAATTCTCACAACAGACCTCTGAGGTCTGCAGTTGAAAACTGCATAATAAATATTGACCACTACTATTTGTTGTGCATCAGGCCCTGTGCTGGAGTTTGTCTGGGGGTAGAGAGGCCTGCTGGATAAGAGGATAGGGTGGACAGTGGAAGCAATGCCCACTAGTCCTAACACTGCCCTGCCCACTTGCAGGTGGACCGATACCGGTTGAAGAATGGGCACCGCATCATCCTGCTGGCCGAAGGGCGGTTGGTCAACCTGGGCTGTGCCATGGGCCACCCCAGCTTCGTGATGAGCAACTCCTTCACCAACCAGGTGCTGGCACAGATTGAACTGTGGACACACCCAGACAAGTATCCCGTTGGAGTCCACTTCTTGCCCAAGAAGGTAGGTTTTCCTCCTCCATTCCAGGCCAATGACCATATCTGTTCCTTGGCTACCTATGTGCAGGGACCATCAGAATATAGAAAGTGCTTGCCTGTCTGTGCTCTTGAAGTAGAGGTCTTTGCAGGGCTCTACAGGGCATAAATCATTTCCCTCATTAGAGGAAGAAACAGACCAAAATTGGGTCATGATTTCCTTGGAGCACACCGAAAGTGGGCTTTGGAGTAAGACACAACAAGGCCATTTCTCCATTTTCTCATCTGTAGAATAAAGGCAGTAGACTTCCTCTTGGGATTGTGAGGGTTTCCTTAGATCAGGGGTCACAAACCCACATGCTCACTGGGATCAGACAGATAAATAATTGAGTGAAGCAGACTGGGTGGGAACTGACAAAACAGAAGACTGCCAATCAGTTGTCATCACCCTTGAACCTTAGCCTATTAGACCAGAACTTCTGACCTTTTAAGAGAAGCCAGCTATGTATGAAATAATCAGTTTTTAAATCTAGGCAGTTCATTACAGTTTTTTTAAAATCACATGGTGTGTCAACTTGGACACATCTGAACTGAAAGCAGCCCACAGGCTACAATCTTGTGGCCTTAGAATGAGATGATACAAGTAACACACTAAACATGGCACTTGCCTTGCGGCGGTGTGTGATCATGATAAGCATGACTATCAGGTACTCTGCTATCAAATCTAGTGCTCATCCTAATGCTCCATGTAGACTGCACACTGCAAGGATAAGAATTGCTGTGTTCAAGTCTTCTTTTTGTCAGTGTCACAGGTGAACTGGATTTTGTTATTTGCCTTGTCTGAGCCTTAACTAGTTGGAGAGGCTGTGGTGGGATGTCTCCATTACCACCCCTTAAGCCCTTTGATAGATTGGTTACATTTTACTGAGGAAGACATAGGAAGATAGCCATCTCCTTTCCACCAAGCCTTTCTGGAACCCTGTCTTGCTGGGCTGAATGCTTTGTCTGTAGGAGCCTCAGTGGCTACTCCATTATGTGCAGCCCACCAGCTCCTGAGACTTGCAGAGTAAGAAAGATTCCCTCTTGGCTGTCACCTAATCCCATTTGGTAGAAATGTGATTATGAATGTGATGAAAAGTTAGGCAAGGTTTGCCTTTGAAATGCACCTAAGATTGGAAACAAAAGAGGCAAAGATCTTGCCCTGTCACCTGGTCTCATTCTGTCTCCTTCCTCCATCACTGCCAAAGCATGGGTTGGGGACAGAACACTCTCAGCTTCATGCCTCACAGGTCATGTGGGCAATATTTAATTATCAGTGTGACTGCTTATGTCAGTCACTCTATGTATCCCTGATCTTTGTAACAGCTATGATAGATGAATTATTGTCACATTCATCCTATAAATGGGAAAACCAAGGTTCAGAGATTGACTTTACTCCTAGTTAAGTGTCAAGTATCAGGCTAGGAATAGAATTCAGCTCTCTCTGTCCAAGTAGTTAACCACTGTGACAGAATCCTTTTGGGGGCAGGGTGCAGAGAGAAGGAAGGACATTCTGAGCTAGGCCATGCAGATGAAGGAATCATTCAGTTTGTACCCTGGGAATTGGTGGTGGTGATGCTTATGTGCTGGGATGTTGGATCCAACTTGTAGCGACCCTGTATAGAGTTTCCGAGGCTGTAAACCTCCATGGGAGCAGAAATCACCATCTTTTGCCTATGGAGCAATTGGTAGATTTGAATTGCTGGCCTTGCGGTTAGCAGCCCAACTCATAACCCACTATGCTACCATAGCTCCTATTTGCCTTTATTCTGCCAGAAGAACTGCCTTTGCTTCTGTTTTGTCTGAGTACATTACCACTCTCTCTGGGATCATTTCTTCATGTGTTGAATGTAAGAAGAAACTTCTGTCTTTACCCAAGAAATTAAGTGAAACAGATACAGAAGTAATCTTGCAACCTTGACCGTTGATGAAGGGATAAAGAAGTGGATAGAACACTTGACTGAAAACAGTGAACGAGAAGAGATGATGTGGAGAGACCTTGCTAGTCAGCCATCTTGAGACAGACAATTACTGTCTGGGTGAGGAGCACAGAGGGCAACTTCATGGAATTCCAAGCAGGACATAGAAGAGCTACATAGTAATACATGGGGTGAAATAAGGTCCTGATTATTGGCAGCAGCCAACAGGAAAGGTACCTTTGCATGATCCCCGCCCCCAACCTTCGTGTACATTCTCTCCATCTGTATATTCTTGACCTCCAGAGACCAGTGTGTTGCCCCACATATCTCTGCTCACCACTGTACCCCTACCTATTAATCTAGCAGAGTGACAGCAGGCTGCCCTGACATAGTGCCAGCTCTTCACCCACTCCTATCCACTTTACTCAGCCAAGCTGCCTCCTGCCACCTTTTTGGTGAGAGGCAGCAGCAATGCAAGTTTTCATACACCTGCCTGGTGCTTCTTCCTCCCTTCCCCCACCTGCCACTCACCTCCCCTCTTCATGCCTGCCTGGCAAGCAAGGGTCTGTGAGCTGGCCTGTTCCCGCGCCTCCCCTCCTGCTTCCACACACACATTGTGAGAGGAACTGTGGCAATGCAACCTTGCATGAACCTGCATGCCACTCATCCTCCCCTATCTAGTGGGATGCAGCGATTGCACTCCCACCAGCAAGCCATACCCATCACCCCATCTACTTGGCAAGTACCACTACCTGTTCCTGTGCATTGAAGTAATTACAGACAGTGGTCATTGTCTGCCTTCAGCCACCCCACAAGACCACTGACCAGAGACTCCCTGCCACTACTCTGCTCACCTGGAGACAGTGGCGAGCATTCTAGTGCAGCCAGATTAGCAACCAGGGTCGCATGCCCATCCCACATCACTGGATACATCAAAATGTAACAAAAAATCAGGGCACAACAAAGAAACAATGCCTTTAGCAAGTGGCCAAAATAAAGAACTATCTCCTTGAGGAAGAAATGGTAATAAAACCGCCTGATATTCAAGACTGTATGAGAGAGCTTCAAAAAGTTCATAGAAAAAAATCCATTAGCTTTTAATTCCATTTTTTCATGAACTATTTGAAATCCCCTCATACGGGGCTCTCCAAGAGATCAAGAAAAGAGTTGCACAGACCAAATCAAAGTTAACATAGATAAAACTATAGAAGAATTCAGGAAAACAATACTAAAACAAAATGACAAAATAAATAGAAACTGTACCAAAACAGCAACTAGAAATCCAGATTAACAGTAAAAATTTCTGAAATAAATAACACATTGGAAGGTCAAAGGAGTAGAATTAAATCAGTGGGAATAGTGGGCAAATCCCTCGATACCAAACAATCTGGATCAAAAGTAAAAAATGAAGACAGTCTTAGAGTTACATAGGATACCATCAAGAGAATGATTTGTGTGATCAGAATTCCAGAATAGGAAAACAGAAAAAGAGAAAAATTTGCAGGTAGAAAGTATCAAACTTCCCTAATATGAAAGATGAGACACTCAATGAACTCCATATAGGATTGTTGTTGTTAAGTGCAATCGGTTGGTTTTGATGCATAGTGACCCTTTATAGAGTTTCTAAGATTTTAAATCTTTATAGGAACAGAATGCCATATCTTTCTTCTGCGGAGCAACTTCAGGCTCAAACCACAGACCTTGTGATTCATAGTCTAGTGTTTATCGTATGGAGCCACTACGCTCCCTTACATAGAATGCCTTCCCCAAAATCACCAAATCGTATCATAATCAAACTTGCAAAACCAAAGATGAAGAATGACTCCTGAGAGAGCAGCTTGGAGAAAAACAAAATGTTACCTCCAAAGGGAAACCAACAAGACTGACAAAATGTTATCTACAAAGGGAAACCATGCAGGCAAGAAGCATGCTATATATAAAACTCTGGAAACAAAAAGAATGTGCTAACCAAAATCACATAACCAGCAAAGTTGACCCTCTAATACGCTGGTGAAATTAGGACACATCTCACAACATGGATGAGCCTGGAGGACTCAGTGAAAAACAACAATCACAAAAAAGACAAATATTTTATGAAACTATTAGTGGTTACGAATCCGGCTGTGAACTGCAAGGTCAGCAGTTCGAAACTACCAGCTGTTCAGCGGGAGAAAGATGAGGCTTTCTGCTCCTGTAAAGATTTACAGCCTCAGAAACCCTATACAGGGTCACTATGAGTCGTAACTGACTCCACGGCACATAATCATAAAGATTTATGCATTTAAAAAAACCCCAAAAAACCCTGCTTTCCTTAACTCTTAGGGGTGTTTGGTGTGGTACTGTAGGATAAATACTGCACTGCTAATTGCAAAGTCGGAGGTTCATAAATACCAGCTGCTCCTCAGAAACCCTATAAGAGTTGCTGTGAGTCTGAACTGACTCGATGGTGCTTAACAAATGACACAATAGGAGCCCTGATGGCACAGTGATTAAGCACTTGGCTGCTAACCAAAACGGTGGTTTGAACCCATTAGCCTGATCAGTGAAAGTGTGGGCTGTCTGTTTCTGTGAAGAGTACAGTCTTGGAACCCCTCAGGGGAAGTTCTGTTCTGTCCTATAGGATTGCTTTGTTTTACTGAAACAGTGGAAGTGAAACCATTTGGAACTGGGATACCTGTGGCCAAAATCTATAAAGGCTCTCTGATGGTGCTTTAGGATAGGCACTACTGGACTGCTCACCTCATGGTTGGCAGGTCAAACCCACCAGCTCCTTCATGGAGAAAGACAAGACTGTGCTTCTGTAAAGATTTACAGCCTCTGAAACAATATATAGGGTTGCTGAGTTGGAATAGACTTGATAGCATTGAGTTTGGTTTGAGTTAGGTGCCACCACTTGTCCATATTTTCAGGTCCCTTTTTTAGCACCTGTGAGAGGTAGAGATTTGTTTAATCTAACACCCCCACCCTGAACCCCCCGAGCTTGTGCTGGTAATCTGTCCCATCTCTTCAGAACTGTCCCAGAGGCCAAGGTTGAAATGATTGGAACAGGTTAGGGGGCTTTGAAGCTAGGTGGGTCTGAGTTTAAATCCCAGCTCTGTCATTCACCAGCTGTGTGACCTTAGACAAGTCATTTCGCTTTTGTTGTTAAGTGCCGTTGAGTTGGTTCGACCCATAGCAACTCTGTATAGGGTTTCCAAGGAGCAGCTGGTGAGCTTGAACTGCCTGAGCATTAATTTCCTCATTTGTAAAACGGGGATACCAAAACTCAAACCTATTGCCTTTGAATTGATTGTTATAGGACAGTTCTACTCTGTCCTGTAGGGTTCTATGGTAACCAAAAGAACATCTGCAATGCAGACTGGGTCTGAAAATGGAATGAGGGACATGGGTATGGGTAAGGTGTATGTCCTCATGAACCAACAGAATAATTTCTTACTCTTTCAGTGGCTAGAGGTGGGTAAGGGACCCCAAAGCATGACACTAATCTTAGGTCTTCTGTGTTTTCCCCCAGCTGGATGAGGCAGTGGCTGAAGCCCACCTGGGCAAGCTGAATGTGAAACTGACCAAGCTAACTGGGAAGCAGGCTCAGTACCTGGGCCTGCCCTCAGATGGCCCCTTCAAGCCTGATCACTACCGATATTGAAAAGCTTGGCCTGCATCTCGCCTTGCAACTGGAATCCCTGCCCAGGCCCCAATTCTCCCTCCCAAGAACAGAACAAAGGGCACTAACTTTGAGATTGGTTTGTCATTCCTCTTTCCCCTTCAGTTGATTCCCTGGGCCCTGCTATGTCCTTCATACTGTTACAGGTGTGGCAAGGAGTATTGAGAAACCCCTCTCTTCCAAAGCCCTGTTCATGATGGAAGGTATGAGGGAGACCCCCACAGGGAACCATGAGCTCAGGGGTCTTAGAACTGCTCACTCAGTCGTTAGCCTGGAAGGTGGTGGCAGTGGTCAAAGCTCATGCACTTTACATCTAGGTCGTCACCTGGTCTTGGGGACTTTACCAGTGTGCTTGGTTTATAGGCTTGCTGGTCCTCAGTCCATGACAGATGAGAAGAAGCACTCACAGGGCACGGTGGAGCTAGTAGAGTCTGAATGCTCCTAAGAGCCTGCCTTAGTGTTGGGCATTCTCTTAAACTTTGGAACAGTGAGGTGTTGGTACTTGTTGTCCCTATTTTATAGGGGTTAGAATAGACTTGTTAAGGGACAGCCACAAGAGAGCAAGAGAAGTGACAACCAGAGGTTGAAAGGGGCCAGAAAAACATGAAAGCGCAGGTACAGTCTGCCCCCACTATGTAACATGCTGGTTCCTACCACAACCCTGGGTCAAAAAATTACTTGGTTTATAATATGTTAAAGGAGAGCAGGAAGGTGGGTTAATAAAATTTTTGGTGCCTAAAAAGGATGTTGAGCCTTTATTATATAGATAATCTACTGCTGTCAGTGTATGGCATGAGCAAGGGGTTATGGTCAAGTGCTGATGAACAGCAAGAAAACAGTCAAGGGGTTATCTGTAGTGTGCATGCTAAGGGATTCAGGTAACAATTTGGGCTTGGAAGGATGAATGAAGTAGAGGGAACTTTTTATTGTGAATTGAGTGAAGGTTTATAGAAAAGATCATCAATTTTACTTTCAATAAACCACAAACTTTGTTTCATCTCAATGATTGCAATCCCCTCCAAGCAATAGCAGTTATCCCGCTTCCTCCCTGTGCTTCCTATTTGCATTCCACA